GTTCATCCCATTGTTCATTACCTGTAGAGCCAATAACATATATCAGCCATTGTGCACATCTACATCAACGTCTTGCACGAACATCGTAGCTCTGACCGCATCCCCCAAGGCCACGGTCACCTCCATCGTGTCCGAGACCCTGCTGTCGATGTCGCTGGCGACGCCGCTGACGCTACTACCGGCGGCAACCTGCGTGCGGACTGCCGCTGTCGTTGCGCTCGCTGCCCGAGCCGAATGCCACCGTCGCGTTCGTGACCATGCCAGCGGAGACGCCCCCGATCACATCCAACACGGCCACGGTCGCCGCGGAAGCCTCCGAGACCATGCTGTTGACGGCACACACGGTGGCGCTGCGGCCGCCGTTGTGCTTGCTGCCCGAGATGCCCGCAGTCATCGCGTGCTTGTCGCCGCCGTCGGAGACGCTCCGGCCAGGTCCAGGACAGCCGCCATATTCGCCAGCGTCGCATCGGAGACCACGGCGCCGCCGCTTCACAACTAGGAAAAGCCCCACATAATCCACAAGATGGCGCTGTGATCCACGGTACCGCTCTTACTAAAGTTTTGTTAGGGTGCTGTTCTCACGGTACTGCTTCCACTGATACTTTTGTCGATTCGCAGCGAATCACAGAGAAGCAGTAAAATGATGCCTCACGTATCTTTTTGATCGAAAGGTCGCTTCAAACCTCCCATCACGTATACTTTTGATCAGTTGGCCTCGCAAACCCTAATACAGCAAAATGATACCTCATGCATCATTTTACCCCGTTTTACTTAAAGTTTGTATGGTGTCCCTTCAAACAGAAATGTATGGCGTTAACGATAGGGTTAATATTCACGAAGATCATGGACGTGTACGAGATTCCTGGAGTGACCGTCGATCTGGCGGAAACTATCGCGGCCAAGACGGTGAAAGACCTCCTGGCAAAGTTTGTTCCTGAAGCCCGGATGAAAATGAAATGAAGGGAATCACCTTCCCGTCAGGAAAATACTTAACGGATAGCGCCAAATAGCGTACCCTTCCCGAATTGAATACCTCCTCTCAAATCTGATTGAATGTGCTCAGTATACAAAGCTATTGTACCTACGCCAATTTGTATACCTCAACCAAACCGTATAGAACGTTGAGTACTTATAATTTTCTTGAAATTTATGTGAAGTTTAGCATGTAAACATCTTTTGATTGGCTAAGAGATGTCTTAAAATTGAAAATCACCCTTTATTTTCCGTGTAAGTATTACTTTGTCAAATACGGCAAGCAAGATCCGGTTATTTTTTATCTTTTTAAAGACCACAGTTTAAAAACTGACACTTGTATTCGGTACTGTTTGCATTTTGTGTAACTTTACGCAAAATTACCGTAAGGTACCCAAAGAAAAATGGTTTTGGTTGTTGGTCTAAGTTCTGCTTGCATCTAACGGCATGAGAGACGTTGTGAACCAACTCTGCGCAATCTATGGATGTCTCCATGGTTTGAAGACTGGTACATACGTTGGCAGGATGCCATCAAAGAGGTTTTGCAGAACGTAGCTAGCTCTACACACAATATTTCAGACTTGAATGCGTCGGAGCTACTTTGGTAGTATAACCCCCCTCCTATTTGTATATCTTTCTAGATTTGACAAGTGTTCAATTCAATAGTATGCGGTATACAAATTGGCGTTTTCCGTTAGCTACCGTTTTTGCCATCGGTGCAGTGTCTAGGAATCGAAGCACACACAGCTTGAACTCGTACGTACTTAAGTAATCGCAACGAGCGCTCGTACTGCTTTGGCCGCGCGTCACCTTCACTTTTTAAGCGCGTTCTACCTGTTCGCGCCATTCAAAATGGCGTAACGCAACGAGCGCGGCTATCAGGCTCCGAGATTGAATGTCTTATTTCAAGTGTGAATTATATGGCTTTCATTGGATAATCGAAAGTGTGCTCTATGATATTGTGCTTTGCAACCGGTTTTCCCTCCTAATTAGTGCACTAGATAGTGATCGTACTTAGTGGTAAATCATAGTGGCTTTGAAGTCGTGTTTCGAAGCCAGCTTGGCTCGGAAATGGCACTTTCGGAAAGTGCCAAAAGGATGCTAATCCATGCTGGATGTGCTAAATCATGCAGGAGATGACATACGCGCGAGGAATTAAGTTTCAAGTAGATTGAAGCCTTTTTGTAAAAGTCTAAGTAGGTGAATGCATCAATTTGCAAGTAGATTGCCACAGTCAAAAATAACGTTTTATCATATCCGAATTGAACGTTAATTTTATGGGCAAAAATAACTGTTTTCCAGGGCCAAGTAATATCGTACGAAATTACCTTTTTAGAGTAAGAGTGTCGTAATGCTAATGTGTAAGTTTACATCATCGCTTCGTAGAAATGTATGCACGCAGACCAAACTAACGCACTTGGTTCTGTATTAAAACTTCGTCGGCCGCGCGTCTGATAAGTACAGTTGGGTTTGTTGAAAAGTCTGAAAGCAACAACCTACGACTCGTAAGTTTTAAAACGGACGGGCATTCTGAGCAGGCCACGCCTCTGTTAAGTACTCTTACGTTTATTGTAACGAACGACAGCAATAACTTACGACTCGTAAGTTTTAAAACGGACGGGCATTCCGAGCATCTCACTTCGCGGTATTCTGAGCTTCTTGTCGTACATTTTGAAACGGACGTTCATACTTTTTTTCAGTATCTTGGGCCGGAGCTTAGCAACACATGTCTGTAGGAGTTTCATAACCACCTCGTTTAGCCCGTGTTCTCTTAGCTCGCGAGTTTTCACTGCAGGGCTCATTCGTCTTTTTGTCGGATACCCACCCAACTACACGCCTCAGCACCTCTACCACCTCTCCTGTTTCGGTCACCCGGACAATGTCTTCGCCCATGATCATGTCGAAGAAGCGGACATCGCCGAGCTCATCGAGATGCG